CCTTTTCTTTGTTTTTTTTTTTTAGAAATATTATCAAACATTATTAATCATTACATTTATCTTAGTTTTAACAACATATATATATGTGTGTGAAGTAAATTAAAATGTATATCAAAAGAAAGGACATTTAATAGAATAATATTTTTATTATATATTATTATTATTATTAATATTTATTATATATGTGTGTTATGTATGTTTGCGCTTTTTATATTATTATTTTATATTTATTTTATTATTTATTTTATATTATTTATTACAATACTTTTATTATATTATTATTATTATTTATTATACAATTTGTATTTTTATAATTTTTATAATTTTTATTTCTATTTTTAGAAATATCATCAACCATTAAACTTATAATTCGTTGCATTTGCTTTAACTTTAAATAATACACACGCACAAACATATATATATATATATATAGTAAAAAAAAACTAGCATTTAATGTAATAATATTTTTAATAAACAATTTTTTGTTAAGGCCGTTACATATCCTCTCACCGCTCCGTTACATAGCCGCCTACCGCTCCGTTACATTTTTTTCAAATCACACCCATTCTAAAGAAATTTGTTCACTTGAAAAAACGATCACATTTGTTAAAATAATAATTAATTATAACATTTCATTTCTCAAAAAAAAAAACACAACTATTAAAAATAGTTACACGTGTTACGTTGATTTATTTCGGAAAAAAAGGGAAAATTCGTTTCATGTAATTCGTTTCATTCTCCCTCTGAGAAAGATAACAAAAAAAAAAAAAGAAAAGAACAACGTTTTTCCCTTTTCCTCCCCACACATCATCCACATCTACTACCCTTCATCCCTTCCCCATTTCGATCACCCTTCTTCAAATGGTTTACGGTCGATCATCGAAAATCCTTTTGTCGTTTCAAAATTCGGTGCGGTGCATTCGAAAGTGCCGCGCGAATTATATGCATGTGTGTATGTATTTACATATGTATGAGTGAAATAGATGAAAGATGGAGTAAAGGGAAGATTATCTGTGTGTCTGTGTGTGTGTATGTGGAGGGTTTTAAGGTACTCGCGAAACATGGGGACGAGAGCTAATAAAATGTGCTAGTTGAACAAAAGAGCCCCGCGGGCGGTGTTACACGTTTGTAAAAAAAAAAAAAGGCCCAGTTACGAGAGGGTCGCGTGCGTATATACGATTCGTCCCTTCCCCCCTCTATCCGCCCATCCCTTCACCAACCCTGTTTATAACATCGAGATCGTTTATACGAATACCGAAACATCTCTCGTAAACTTGAAACGATCTTCCAACACTGAACTTCTTATCTCTTCAAAAGATCCTCACCTCTTTCGTTTCTTTATTCCAATGAGATAAAAAGATGAAGATGAAGATGAAGATTAAGATGTGCATCTCGAGTTATCGAGATCTCTCGAATAAAATCTGCGATTTATTTCTGTTTTTTTTTTTTTTTTGTAAGATTTTTAATTTTCATTTCTTGCAAATATAATTTGCGTAGGTTTTGAATGTGAAACAAAATGAAAGTTAATGAATAATTAAAATAATATCACACAGATTACAGTTTGAAAGTATAATTTAGATGTATATATGAGTTCTCTTTGATATAATTAATATTAATTTTTTATTTCCTGACGTATTTTGTGCAAATTTTAATATCGCAATATCGCGTGTATTAACTTGTCGAAAAATTTCATAATTTCTTTCGCCCCTTCAACTGAATATTAAATTCTATTCGTGATATTTTCCTTTTTTTCTTTTCTTTTTTTTTTTTTTTCAAGTGACAACTTCTTTAGAATGAATGTGATTTGAAAAAAGTGTAACGGAGCGGTAGGCGGCTATGTAACGGAACGGTGGGAGACAATGAAACGGTCGCGTTTCACTAAATAAGAAGAGAATGCAATTATCCTACAGCAGATATTTAGTATTCCGTCTCATTCTCTCGAAACTTAATTTTTGTGAAGATTTCACTTTTAACACGTGTGATCTGCACACATGTTTCTTTCTTTTTTTTTTTTTTGTATTAATCGATGACCGCGAAAAATAAATTGGGGTTGAAACGTTGGGGGATGGGGGATTGACGTATGAAAACTTTTGACTTTGACTTTTATTTCTAAATTGAAACTATGAAAATAATAATAAAAACATTTAAAAGGTAATAAAGTTTGAAAGTTTGTCTACGTTGATTGAACTACGAGTTTTAAGGTTGTTTACCCCGCTCCCCCTTCCCCTTCCCCTTCCCCCTTTTGTTTCGAAACATTCTCTTGGTGTTTGTACGAAAAAGTAACAACAAATGTAAATTTAAATTCCCAAAAAATGAAAAATACAAGAATAGAAAAGGGTTGAATTGAAATGGTAACAAATAGCAATTTAATTAAATTGTGGTATTTATATGTTTGCAATACGTTTAAACTATCAACGCGTTAAACAAACTCACTGTTGCATTTTTCTGTCATGCTTAAGTGAAAATACCAAATGTAATTTGAAATTAATGGAAGGAAAGGGGACACAGGAATCAAAGTTACGTTTAACAGTGGTTGTGATCGATCGTTTTACAAATTGTAAATTTTCAAATGGAAAACTTTGTAAAAAGTTTACAACGAATTAGAACTTTTAGGAGGGGGTGAATGGTCCACTTATTTTTGAATATTTTTTGAAATGTTTACGATGCTTTTATTTATATTTATATATATTTGAAAAGAGTGATCACACATATGAATATATTGGATATGAAATATAATTTCTTTCAAATTAAATAATAAATATAACTGTAAATATATATGTGGTAATGTATCCACAAAGGATTTATAGAATACGTTTATGATTTTTGCAAATGTGTGAGACAGACACCGACATCAAATAAAATTGCACATAATACGTTTCTATATATATGCTACTGTTAAAAATAACATTTTTTTCGTTGCTTCATCAAAGAGAAAATTTAGCAACGTGAAAAGATAACAAATAAAAATAAAAAAAAAGATACAGTTTTCTAGTAGGTTAATAATAGTTTTTAAAATAAAGTTCTAAACAGAGAAGAGACTACGTCGAGAGTAACTCGTTGTTTCCAAGGGTTTCCTATTTTTGGATATGAGAGATCAGACATTCCGTTATACTTTCTATTAACTCGAACTATTTGACCTAATATTTTTTCTAACGTTACAATCAATACATCTATTTTTTGTTTTTTTTTTTTGATTTATTTTCTATTCAACGTACAATTTAATTAAATCAATCTATTAAAATAAATAACAAATAATAATAATAATAATCAAATCAAATCAAATCACAAAGTGTATTATTAATCGTGATTTCGATTTAATATGAATGACGAATTGATACGTGATTAGATTTTGATATTAAGGTTGTTGGACCAGAGAGAAGAAAGTCTAATTTGATTCAAGTCAATTTTCAACGTGTCGATAACAATAATGCAATGGTCCCCGACTAAATCTAAAATCCGTTAGGTTGCGTTGTTATTCGTTCTGCGTCTACCAGTTCCATTGTGTTAGAAATACATATACATATACATATATATATATACCTAAGTTAATATAAATAATTCAGAAAAGGTAAGAATACGATTCTCTTGATCGCATTCTAATATCCCCCCCACTCTCCTCTCGTCTCCTTATTTCTTTTTCTTTCTATGGATCGATGGTCTAATGAGAATCTTCGATACCCGTAGCACCTATTAGCCTTATACCCAACCTGTCCATTCCACTATTGGTAGACGTCGGGGGTCCCTCTTATAATCAGATATAATCGAACCATCGTATATCCATCGTTTAATTCAACCAGACGATCTTAAACGAAAATTTGGCTTCAGGTTTACAAAACACTCGATACTTTCTCGATTCTTTTATTTATTCGTACAAAAATCATCAATCCATCTCATCCACCTTCGACTGTGAACAACAACAACAACAACAAAGTTTTTCATTTACTTTTAAATACTTTGCAGAATATTACGAATTATTAGACGCGACAATTAAAATAAATCATTCTCATTTAAAGTTTCAAACGAATCTCGCTTAACCACCCCCACCCCCCGTCCACCCCCTCCAATCCACCTCCCCCCTCGTTGCTTATTTTTATCTCCCTTTGTCTTCAATTTAAAATCTCTGCTTTGCATACAAATTGGGATAGTTTTTTATTTTAACGATGGTCGTACATACGAAAATCGAATGATGGGAAAACGTTCGAACGTTAGAAAATTATTCGTGTTTGTTTATAAATGATTTTCAATGTAAAAATGTATGTATTTTTTTTTTTTTTTAAATAAAAACGGACAATTGGTATTCTTATCCGATAAACAGAAAAGAATAATAAAAGAAAGATAACTATGAACGAGAAGAAGAGAAAAAGTAATGATAGGATAAGGAAAGAAAAGATCATATAAATAATATACATATATATATATATATGTATATAAATATAAGAGAAAAAGATGATAGAATAAAATGTTAAAAGAAAATGGAAAAGGTTTATAAAAAAAAGAAAGAAAGAAGAGAAAAGGTAGGTAGGCAAAGGCTCATTCACTTTGACGGGTGTCGTCGTGGTTGGCGGCGTATAGAGGTGCGCATGCGTGATAGGTGACATATGGAAGTACGCATGCGTGATTGCGCGCGCATAAAACCGCGCTGAACACTTTGATTTCTATTCGATTTGGAGTAGCGTACGGGATTGGTTGCGCGCATTCAGTGAGATGCGCGCGCAACTCGGGTCTTCAGTGCGGGCATCCCCACTCTTTCAGATTAGTCAGTCTCTCTTCCTCGCTCGTGGGGTTAACGTCGTCGGTCTTTTTCTCGTATAGTGCGCGCGTTTCCTTTTCCTCCTCTTCCTCTTGTGCCGTCGCCGTCGTCGTCGTCGTCGCCGTCGTCGTCGTCGTCGTCGTCGTCGTGGTGGTCGTCGTCGTCGCCGTCGTCGTCGTCGTCGTCGTCGGCGTCGCCGCCGCCGCCCNGTCATCATCATCGTCGTCGTCGTCGTCGTCGTCGTCGTCGTCGTCGTCGTCGTGGTGGTCGTCGTCGTCGCCGTCGTCGTCGTCGTCGTCGTCGGCGTCGCCGCCGCCGCCCTCCGAGCGTCACGAGAAACGAAAGAACGGAGTCGGTCAATACTCCGGGTAACGCGACGGTGAGAGCACGACGGTGGTCGCTTATAAGCGCGCCGTGCCGTCACTCGAGAGAGAGCCAGTGTGCCACCTCGAGATTCCTCTCGTTCCTTCGTTCGTTCATTCGTTCGTTCGTTCATAGACATATTCAAAGAAAAAATAAAATAACTAAAAAAGATATATATATAAAAAAGTATTAAATCACATTTTATTATCATTCTTTATTTTATCTATTTATCTATTAAAATCCTTATATATATTTCTCTAATTATTTTTTTTTTTTTAGTGATCATTTATCGGGAGTAATAAAATCGTGTTGTTTCTTTATAACGTAACATCTACCACCTATCTGTCTCTTCTCGTGTGTGAAAAGGTAGGACGTGTTTGATACTGGTAGCCAACTAGAAGGACGAAGAATAAGAGGAATAAGAATAAGAAGAAGAACCAGGAGGATAATAAAAAGAAGACGAAGAAGAAGAAAAAAGGAAGATATATCCTATATACTCCCCTTTACCCGGTTTACAGATAACATTGGTTGGGGTGGGGGGAGTCTTTAAAGAAACGATGTGAGAAATAGAAAGAGAAAGACGTATATACACACACACACACATATATATATATATAACATCCTCTTTGGATATTTCAAACTGTCAAACTCAGACTGTCTTGTTCGTGAATTAAAAAATACAAAATACAAAGTGCATCAATTATTATTATTATTATTATTAGTCAACGACGTTAAAGTCATTGGATTCGACGCACGCCACGATTTACCATGCGTCCGCGTGCCTGATGTGGAATCATCCTCTTCTCCCTTCAGCACCACCGGCTTAGCCACCGGCATTGCCACCACCATAATCTCCACCTTTTCGTCAATCCTCAGCCACCGTCGTCGTCGTCGCTGCTACCACCACCTTGGAGCAGCTTCCAATTACGTTTACGTGCCGGCACACTCATGGATACTTGGATATTGTTCCTCTTTGTCATCGTTGCCGGTGAGATATACAAATTCAAACAATATTAATATTTCAATCTTTTTATTTGATTTATTTTGATAAGATTTATTTTGTCCCCCTTTTCCTCCCTGTATGGTGGATAAGGGGGAAAGGTGTGTGTATGTATATATATATATGTAGGTTTATATGCATTACCAAAAAATGCATTTATTTTTATTTAGAGATTTATTTAGAATAAAATAAAATACAGGTAATATACAGTGTAATATATATTAATAAAGTTATGTTTAATTAATAAATAAATATTAATAATTTTATATATTATATCAAAAAGTAAATAGGTTCTTCTAGGGAATTATTAAGCAAAAAAAGAAAAAAATAACTAAAAAGTAATACACCAATAAAACGGTATTTAAATAATTATAAATATTTCAAATGTCGTATGTTTTATAAGCCGAGTGATCAAAGAAAACTTTGACTCTTCTATTATTACCTACTATTACCTACTATTAATATTAATTATTTATCTTTATTGTTACCATTATTACTATTACTATTATTAATTATTTTCTTAAATACCACCACTCCTATTACTTCCAATTATTTTTCTCTTTTTATTTAGTCTTCTTACCATGAATTGCTTATCTCCTAATTACATATACGTATATATATATATACACATATGCACACGTATATGCATTTACTATTTTATTATGTATGTCGCGTTCGTTTCTATGGAACTTAACATAAGAGAAACACACGGGATGTCTCTCTGACGTTTGATCGGCGCCTCTGATAACGGATTACGTAGTTTCAACAAGGCACGTGCGTTTCACACACACACACACACACACACATACACACTCGCGTCAACACATACATACACTCGTGTATGTTTTTACTATCTCTCTCTCCTTAACCCTTTAATAATCTTCTTATCCTATTTCGAATTATACCATAAGAATTAAAATCCCCCTACACATCATTACAAGATGTTTTCTTTCACCCTTATTTCAATCAAATGTTTTTTTTTTTTTTTTTTTACGAATTATTCTCTCACACAATTCTTTATATTTTTGGTTCCTTTATTAGATATTAATGTTATGCATGTGTATAATATTTTTTACAAATATTTGGATGTGTAAAAATGTATTAGTAAGACGAGTATGTGTTCTGAATTTTGCGTGGGAAAGACCAGTTTCGATCGTTTCGACCCCTCCCCCTCCCTCCTCTCTCCATCCCCCCTCATGTCCCCCTCATCACCACCCTTCAATTCGCTACCCCACCCCACCCCACCCCCTCTCTTTCATCTCTTCCCCATCATACTTTTTGGATACTTTATCTTTCTGTTTTTTTCTTCTTCCCCTAGAACCCCCTCACCCCACCCTTCTCGTATTCGTGTAACTTGTCCTTTGGTTCTTTTTCTCTGTCTGTTCATTTCCCCTTCTTTTCGTTCTTGTTGTTGTTGTTGTTGTTAGGTTTTTTTTTTATTCTTTCTTTATTTCTTTCTCTCTTTCTATTTAATGTAAAAAAAGGGAAGAATTTGTGGGGGTAGGCGCCACCAAGCAAAACGTGTGGACGAGAGGTCGGGTCTCTCATACTTTGAAAGAGAGAAAGAGAGAGAGAGAGAGAGAGGGAATCACAGTGTGTTCTCTCTGCCAGATGGCTAGCATTCTTCTTCAGGACTCTCACAGCAGTTATACGACGGTCTATGACGATGGACTATGACGATGTTGTAGAACTATGAGAAGATGACGGGAAAGGGGGACCAAGGGCTACCTTCTTTCTTTTTATCTTTCTTTCTTTTTCTCTCTCTCTCTCTTTCTTTCTTTATTTCGTTTGGTTGTATTCTTTTGTATCCTTGATATGTTTCGATTATTTACTATCTTTTTCTATTTCTAATAATAACTACTTTGATTGTACTCCTTTTTGTTCTGTTGTTAGAGTTCTATTTGGTTTTGTTTCTTAGTTTTGGTTAGAATGTAATACACACACCTATTAACAAACACTTCGTGGTGTTTAATGGACAATTTGTTTTCTTAGTGTTTTTTTTTTTTATGTTGAACTCTTACTATGAATTATTTTGTTAATTATTACTCAATCCAGTTAACGAATTACCTTATACCACCATCATGTTAGAATCTTATCGAACTAACAGAGAATAAAATAATATTGCAATTATAAATTGAAATATAAACTATCCTATCTTTCAAGTTGAATGAAACTGCACAAAGTATGCAAAATTTGATGAAAATCGGTTCAGTAGTTTAGGAGTTCATTGCGGACAAACAACGTCACACGTAATTTATATATATATATATATATATATATATATATATTAAGAATAAGATATAATATTTTTATATATTATATTTATATTTAATTCATTGTTATAGGTTATGTTGAACTTTGTTATTAGATTGTATCCCATTTTGTTGTTGTTGTTGTTAAGTTTCTATTTGGTTTTGTTTTTTAGTTTTTATTGAAAAGTAAGACACCCACCCCCAACAACCATTTCATGGTGTTTAATGGAAAATTGTTTTTGGGATAATGTTTCTTTACTGTTTTCTGTATTTTAATTTTCATATTGTTTTTTTTTCTTTTTTTTTTTTTGGAATGCATCGTTAAAACTAACAGTATCTGCATTTTCGTTTTCTTACGCTGATCTCGTACGTCGTTTGCGTATAATGGCGGATATTCTTTTCTTTTATTTTTCGTCTGAATATTCGTAGAATCTTAGTTGATTAATAAAATGATTTCGTAGTAAAATGTTTTTTTTTCTTACTTTAATTTGGGTGAATTTTCTAGTTATAATGATCTTTCATCCTTTGTATTTTTTATTCTCAAAGTATGACGACACCGGAAATCCTCCAATTTTAGCTCACACGAATGAATTGCTTTTTTACTCACTAAATGAAAGAAACTGAGAAATTGTTTCAATTTATTTCCAAGAAAAAACAAAACATGAAGGATTAATTTTTAATGATTAACATTAACATTCATCAGAATAATTTGTGATTAGTTTAAATATTTCATTTGTTTTATTAGATTGAAAGTAAACGTCGTTTATTAACCTCAAAATTCAATCAAATTTGTATTATTAATCAATAATTAAATTAATCAATAATTAATCGCGTTATCAACAATCTTTTTTTTTTTTATCTGGTATGTGTAAATGTTTAATATCGTAATGATAACAATCATCACATTGAATTTTTTCATTTAAAATATTAAGAATAATTTGACATACGTAGTAACGACACCATTTACTTTACTACTACCGTGAAATATTTCAAAATGATTTCAACGTTAAATTGTAAGAAATAAATTTCGAAATAAATAATATATTTAAATCAAATTATATAATAAAATTATTTAATATATAATATTCATTTTATTTTAATATAATAAATATAAATTATAATAAAATAAATGACATTATAATTAACACGTGTTCTTTTTTCAATTTTTTTTTATCATTTGAAATGTGTTAGTACTTTAAATTTATATTTCAAAATGTGTGTGATTTCAATGTTAAATTATAAGAAATAAATTTCGAAATAAATAATATATTTAAATGAAATTATATAATAAAATTATTTTCATATTCATATTTTATTTTTCAATATAATAAATATAAATTATAATAAAATAAATGACATTATAATTAACACGTGTTTTCTTTTCAATTTTTTTTTATCATTTGAAATCTATATTAGTATTTTCAATTTAATTATACATTTCTTTTTGAAATTTATTTTTTAATATTGATTTGAATTTTCGACAAATGGTGGGGAACGAAAATAACAATTTATTCGATTTCTCAATAATTTCACATATAATTCATAATTAAATTATCCTTAAACGAAAATTACATTACAGCCATTAATAAATTCGATAAGTACCTAATCGCAGTAGAATAAAATAAAAAAAAATAAAATAAAAGAAAAAAAAAATCCCTATCCCTTTTCCTTCCCCTTCCTCTTACTCGGTATTACTTTTGCATCAACTTAATAATATATTTGAGAAAAGATTTATGAAGAAAATGAAATAGTTTTAAAGTCGTCCGATAACGAGGAATTAGTCGAATAAGAAGAAGAATAAGAATAAGAAGAAGAAGAGGATAAGACGAGAATAATTTTCTTCCTTGAGAGTTTGAAAAGATCGATACTCCCCCACCTACCTACCTCCCCACCTCCCCACCTACCCCCATTTCACCCTGAAACCCTCACCCAGCTAACAGTGTCAGTTGGAAAGACCCTTTTTACCATCTCTCTCACCATTTATATCACTTTTTAGTGAATCTAATCGTCAGACGGAAATAAATACTTTCTGCAAGTAAGCAACCAACCAACCAACCAACCAACCAACCATCTACCATTATCTTTATCTTTTTATCTCTTATTCTTATTTTAAATCTTTATCTTTCTTTATCTAACATACACATACATAGACAAGTAGAGATAGAAAATCCAAGTGGTGATATTTTTCTGGTTAGTTCGATGTTACTTGCACCCTGTCTTGCCTCGTAATCCATTTCTATCTCTTTCTACTGGTTTCTTGCGTCCTTCTTCTTCTTCTTCTTCTTCTTCTTTTCATATACATACTTAAGTAAATAAGTAAATGTATGTACATACATACATACCTGTGTATTTACACGCGTCCGGTTCGCGCGTGATCACCGTTCTTGTTCCTCTCCTCCTTCTCCTCTTCTTCTTCTTCTTCTTCTTTGATCTTTTTTCTTCTTTTTTTAATTCCCCTTCTCTTTTTCTCTTTCCCTTTCCCTTTCCCTTCTTCTTCTTCTTGTTTTACTCCTTTTCCTCTTCGGCTTGTTCCTGCCGACCAGAATCCACGTACACACATATTCACATTCATACGCACCTTTCTTACACAACATGACTGTTAACACGCGTGTATTTGTCTTCCTCAGTATATGTTTAAGTGTGTATATGTATGTGTATTAGTATTTTACACATACTCATGTAACTCCTTCCTTTTTTCATGAGTCATCCAAAGAACTTAGCACACGCATCATCTTT